AATCTAGTCTACCGCATTCGCTGCTCACAATGTGGTCTCCTCTGCACTGGGGAAATGATCACACGACACCAGGTTATAGTCCAACAGGTTTATTTGAAAAAACAAACTTTCGGAGATACACTCCTTGGTCAGGCGTTAGTGAGAGAGGCAGTATCAGTCACAGAATTTACAAGTAAAAGATCAAAAGGTCACACCACTGATGAGGATGTATTAAACAAATCTCAGATGCTGTTAAATCTTTAATCAGTTAGAAGCTTTTAATTGATCAGTATGTCCATCCCCGAATTCCTTTCAAGTCATGTCCTTAGAGAACTAAAGGTTTTATCAGTTAAAGAGGAGGTGACATTTTTGGTCAGACAATGCAATATCAACCGGACAAGGTTGAAGTTCTCAATTTCTGCCCCACCACCAAAATGGACCCCATTGGTCCCGTACCAGACACAGAGGAGTTCATCAGGCACTTGAGGTTTCGGGAATTCTTCCAAGATATCAGCAGTGAGCCCAATGAGGCAGCCAATGAACCGGATCAGTCAACAGAGAGATCCATGGGGGAGTGGGCAAAGAGGAGTTGAATTGGACCCCTCTGGAGGGCCGTTGCATTGGGCTTGACAGGTTTGCTCAAGCCATCGGAGAAAACGTCAGAATCATCAGCCGCACCCACAGGTTAGTGCAAAACGTAACCCAGGCACAACACAATGCCATCCGTGCTCTCAAGACCAATCACAACATTGTCATCAAACCAGCAGACAAAGGAGGAGCCATCATCATACAGAATAGAACGGACTGCTAGAGTAAGTTTATTGACAGCTGAGCAACCAGGAACGCGACCTACAACTACCTGCCGATCCGACCAAAGAACACACCTGTCAACTGGACAGACTGGTCAGGACTTTTGATCCAGTTCTTCAGAGTACCCTATGCACACTCATCCTGTGTACTTCCTGCGTAGGAGACTTCTACTGCCTTCCGAAGATACACAAAGCCAACACACCTGGACGTCACTTTGTATCAGGCAATGGGACGCTGTGTGAGAACCTCTCTGATTATGTCGAGGGCATCTTGAAACCCATTGTACAAGGACGCCCCCATGCCCAGCTTCTGTTGTGATACTACAGATTTCTTACAGAAATACAGCACCGATAGACCAATTGAAGCAGGAACATTTCTCGTCACAATGGATGTTTCGGCACGCAATACCAGCATCCCCCACGATGACAGCATCGCTGCAACAGCCTCCGTACTCAATACCAACAACTGCCAGTTTCCAGACGCAATCCTACAACTCACCTGCTTCATCCTCAACCACAACATCTTCACCTTCGACAACCAGTTCTTCATCAAGGCGCATGGAAGAGTCACGGGGACCAGATTTACTCCACAGTATGCCGACATTTCCATGCACAGGTTCGAACAATCATTCTTTGCTGCACAGAACCTCTGACTAACACTATACACCAGATAAAGTGACGACATGTTCTTCCTTTGGACTCACAGCGAGGAATCACGGAGACAACTGCTTTGCGATAACAACAGGTTTCATACCACCATCAGATTTCCCATGGACTACTCTTTAGAATCAGTCTCATTCTTGGACACACGCATCTCCATCAGGGACAGACACCTCAGTACCTCACTCTACCGCGAGCCCATGGATAACCTCACGATGCTACACTTCTCTAGATTTCACCCTAAACATAGTAAAATAGCCATCCCCTACAGACAAGCCCTACGCATACATAGGATCTGTTTGGATGAGACGGAACGAGACAGACACCTGAAGGTGTTGAGGGACGCCCTCCTAAGAACAGGAATGCAATGCTCAACTCAATAATCGCCAGTTCCAACGTGCCACAGTGAAAAACCATAATGACCTCCTCAAAAGATAGACACAGGATACGTCCGATAGGATACCTTTGTCATCCAGTATTTCCCAGGCGCGGCAAAACTATGCCATGTTCTTCGCAGCCTTCAACACATCAACGATGACGATAAGCTCATTACCAAGATCTTCCTCACACCTCCACTTCTCACCTTCAAACAACAGCCAAACCTTAAACAGACCATTGTTCGCAGCAAACTACCCAGCCTTCAGGACAACATACCACACAGACACACACACACGCGCAAACACACACACGCGCGCGCACACACACACACACACACACACACACAAACACACATAAATCGATGGGGTGAATTTGTATTTAAAGTAGGGAATTCTGTCTGGTGTTTGAATGGTGTAAAGGAGTGCTTTTGGGTTTATGGCATTGCAGTTTTCTACGCACTTCGGAATCTTTTGCTTGTGCTCAGTGGAAATATTGGTTTATTCGACTTTATCTTTATTTCTTTTGGGTACTTCTATTTCATTATTAAAATCAAATCTTCGGAGTTGCATGCTTGCACTTCAGACATCCTCTTTAATACCGAAGAGAAAATATGATCGATCAAAGCTAGATTTCAGTCTGAGAATCTGTGTTGTCCAGTAATAGCATAAGCTGGGATCAGTACCCCTAGGAGCTTTTGGTGGGATTGAATTTCCTGGATTTCAGAGGGAGCTGTGTTTTCCTGTTTAAAATAGCAGGTACATGATGGTTCTAGACAGAAAACAGTTGTGTTATATTTATTGCACCGGGATTTGAACAATGCAGAGAGCGGACTAGTTGTAAAGAAGTCAGCCAGCTGGATCTCATTGAATATGAGTTCCCTGATTGGGGCTGTTAATCAGGGAGCCCTGGCTGACATACAAAAAGGGTGAATGTCAGAGATACTGACACCCTGGTACCTGACTCTGTATGAAGCAGTACTAAAGTCAAGAACTCTTAATGTATCAATTAAAGGTTACTTGGTGAAGGGGTACCGGTTTCTACGGAGTTATTTCAGGGAGCCTTCTGGAAGTGGAAGATTCAACAGTGGATTACTTGAAATCTGAGATGAAAATTAAACTGAGAGAGTTATCAGATAATTTGAAGATAGAACTAAAAGCCGGATCTCATAAGGATGGGACGCTTCACATGATTATCCAACATTGAGAAAAAGATTAAAATATTTTACATGCTGTGTATAAGCAACCCCCATTTTGGAAGGATCGTTCAAAGCTTCAGATGCTTAGGCGATAGGCCACAATCTACTATAATAGCTTTTAAGTAATAAAATGGGAATGATGGTGAATGGATATAAGGGAAGGTCTATAATAAAGTGGAAGATGGGAGATAATAAATCTCAAAAGCTTTAGTGGTGCAAGGCCAAAAGGGAGCAGGAATGGGAGAAGTGATAAAACAGGAGATGTGTCCAGAGGAAGTGTGAATGACAGAATGATGAACGACTGCGAATCAAAAAGAAAAGCAAAGTTAAAACCAAAATCTGCTGAGAGCATGAGGCAAATTTTATTTGATTTGATTTATTATTTTCACATGAAAAGATTTGTTTGTTTCACAATACTGGCAGATCATACCATACAAAGTGCATAAGGGTAATAGAACAGAGTGAGGAATACAATGTTATGGCTGCAGAGAAGATGCATAAAGAGCCAGATCAACATTAAATTTAAAATTTCAGAGGTCCGTTCAGAAGCCTCGTAGCACCACAGTAGAAGCTGGTCTTGAAAATTTTGGTCCGTGTGTTTAAGCTTTTATACCTTCTGCCCAATGCAAGAGATTATAACCAGGATGGTGAGGAGTCTTCGATTACGTTGTTTGCCTTTCTGAGGCAGCGAGAAGTATAGATGAAGTCAACAGATGAAAGATTGGCTTGTGTGATGGTCTGGGCAGTGTTCACAACTCTTTGTAGTTTCTTGTGGTCCGAAGCAGAGCAATTGCCATTTCAAGCCATAATGCACCTAGATAGAAAGGTGCATCTGTAAAGAAAAAATTAGCGAGAGTCTTTATGGACATGCCTAATTTCCTTTTTCTCTTGAGGAAGTAGAGATGTCGTTGTGCTTTCTTGACTATCACATCAAGATGGGTGGAGCAGAACAGATGGTTGGTGAACATCACTCCTCGGAACTTATCACTCTTAACCATCTCCACATCAGCACCATTGATGTGTGTAGGTGTGTGCCCTCCATCTTGCTTCCTGAAGTCAATGAACAGCTCTTTTGTTTTGCTGACATTGAGGGAAAGTTTGCTATCTTTACACCATTCCACCATACACCCTTATCTCTTTCCTGCTTTCTGTCTGGTCATTGTTTGACATTCGGCCTACAATGGCAGTGTCATTGGCAAACTTGTAGGTGGAGTTAAGATGAAATTTGACCACACAGTTGTGAGTGTACAAGGAGTATGATAAGGGGCTGGGGACATAGCCTCGCGGGGCCTCACAATCAGGGATGCGGTAATGAAAATCATGACTGTGTGCAACAACTTTAAGCAAAACATGCTTTCCCACAGGAATCAATGTTAAAGTCGGAGTTCGGTTCATGCAGAACATCTTTGCCCCAAAAAGCTGATACAATAGTTAAAATGCCATGCCATGTATGGGCAATACTGTGTATTTCTTGTTGAAACAACTGGCAAAACAATACGCACAAAGTTCCGATCATGAACGCAGTCGTCTTATTGCAGAGAAGTCTATAAAGAAATGTACAGTACAGGCTCCTCATCTATTTTACCTGCCCTGGTAAAGAACTACAGATCAAATTGCAGCAGATAACTTCTTTAAAAATTAAGTTCACAGCAACATCTCGACTAGTACAGGTACAAAAACAGAATTCTTCAATGAAAAAGTTTAAAATGAAGGTTACTTCATTGACTGAGCAGAGAACTATTCAGAAAAGTGATGATCTTAACTGCAGGACTCACATAACGGTGCTATCTTTAGCAGCACAGCCAGGGGGCATTGCTGATGATCTAATGAGATGAGAGGCACAAAAATACAAGACATGACAGGAAGTAAGGGATGTTAAAATGATAAATGACCCTTTTAATGAAAAAGATGTAGCCCAACAAAAAACAATTTTAAAGAGAAAATATTCAAAAGGGAAAGACTTAAATTAAGGACCGCCTGTAAATATGAAGGCAATCCCATATTGTAATATAACACCTGAAATTTTGAACTACAGAACTGTGGAGGAGTCGTGGTCCTTCGTGGATTGTGAACGATCAGAAGCAGGAAAATCACGAGAAGCCAAATGAGATGGATCACTGATTTTACATCTTAGTGATGGAGGCAAACAGCTGTAAAAAAGTCTGCGGAGATAGAATCGAAATCTTTCACCCAGAAATGCATAAATGATGGGGTTTAAGCAGCAGTGTACAAATGTGATGGTTTCAGTTACATGCTGGGCAATCAATAGCTGTACTAGTAACGCACAACCAGTTAAAACATTCTGTTCTCTCAATGACTCCAGCAACATCACAACATTGTACGGTGTCCAAAATACAAAAAACACAATGACAACAGTAAATATAACTTTTATAGCCCTGTGTTTCTTACAGCTTTTGTTTTTACGCAGGGTTTGAATTATTCTTGTGCAACAGAAAACTATGATAGCCAATGGAACAAAAAAACCGAACAGATTGGATTTGAAAAAGGTAA